TGCCTTATCCTTTTTATTAAAGAACATTTAGAAAATGGTATTAAGGAATTTTCCTTTTTTTCAGATAACTGCTCAGGACAGAATCGCAATAAGTATATTTTCACTCTATATAATTATCTTGCCCAGAAATGTAAAATATCAATACGTCACACTTTTTTGGAACGTGGGCACACACAAATGGAGGGAGACTCCATGCACAGTGTCATAGAGAAAGCGGCAAAGCATGCACCGATTTACACACCAGAACAGTGGTATACAATGGTGCGTACAGCTAAGAGACGTCAGCCCTATAAAGTGGTCGAAATCAGCCAAGACGACATATTCGACTTAAAATATTTGCAAGAATGTGCCTCTATTAACTGGGAAAAGGACGAGGAAAGGAACAAGGTCTATTTAAATAAGATCAGGATCGTGCAGGTAAATTACCAATTCCCACACGTCATTTTTTTCAAGACTAGCTTTGACGAGATATAATTTAAACAAATAAATTTAATACAAAAAGGTAGGAAAAAATTAGAACTTTCCTTTGATAACATTGAACTGAAGAAATGCTACTCAAGCGCAATTCCTATACCAAAGAAAAAGTACGACCATCTTATTTTTTTGTGCAACAAAAAAGTAATATTGCCGCAGTATCATGATATTTTCAAAAATTTACCGTATACATTAAGAGCAGTGCAAAACTCGGATTCCGAATAAAATAATGAACATTTAACTGTTAATAAATATTTTACTTCAATGATTTTAGTTATTAGGTATTTAGATACTATTTAGTGAATAGTGTTTCCTTATTTGAAAATGTTTTTTTTTTTGTTTCTCCCGTATTTGTTTTTCATTTTCAGTTGAGTACCAAATGTTTTTTCTTTTTTACGCATAGTTTAATACTTTTGATAAAAAATAATATATTTTTATCCTATATACTTGTTCTATTCTATCTATACTAGAAACGAGTTGATATCCTCTAAATATTTGGAAAATACCGCGTCAGTGGTGGTCCCATCTTTTTCGATTTTTCGATTTTTCGATTTTTCGATTTTTCGATTTTTCGATTTTTCGATTTTTCGATTTTTCGATTTTTCGATTTTTCGATTTTTCGATTTTTCGATTTTTCGATTTTTCGATTTTTTGATTTTTCGATTTTTCGATTTTTCGATTTTTCGATTTTTCGATTTTTCGATTTTTCGATTTTTCGATTTTTGTTAGTGAGTCGTAGACAAAATATACTGTACAACTCCAGTGGGCTCGAACTCACTTGTGGACGCGGCCAAAAGCACGCTGTCTCACTTAGCATTGGGTCTAAAAGAGATAGAATCAGTTATGAGCAGTTAGCAGCTAGTCTACACGCATACGTCTAGTCGCACGCACACGAACACCGTGCCGAAGTCTGCCGAACTGAAACGACGTTAGACGATGTAGACAATGGTTTTTTTTCGCGGAATTTCTTGATTCGATCGCCGCGCACAAAGCCCGCGGCGCAGGGCATAGTGGCGCATTCGTTTGCAAAATTGTTTTAATTCGTAATTTTTTTTAAATGTCCGAAAGGCTTTCCTGATTATAAAAGTGTAAGAAGACACTCGATATATGTTAATGTTATTGTTTAATCAACGAAAAATTAATTAAGCCAGAAAATATATATTTTTTGCAATGAATTAATTTTTTTTATATTATTTAAAATATTTCGAATAAAAAAGTCTTTACGCCCATCATCGTATCTTTAACCCTTTAATTGTTATGAATTTTTTAAAATCCGAAATTGACGAAAATTCTAATAATCTTGAATTAAATAATATACCCTAAAATTTAAAATGCTATAATTTTAAATTTTTTACCGAATATTAAAACTATAATAAACAAAATAACCTAAATAAATTTTCAAAATTTTGTTTGTTGTTATGTTTTTTTTACGTTATAACAATATGCTTTCTACGCGCGTGTACTTTTAGAGAGAAGTACTTCTATCTCACTTCCAACTCAATGTATAAGATGGGTAACAGAAAGCCCGATGACGCGCTGAATCAATTTTTTGCTGTTTTTCAGAGGTAATAAGTTTAAAAAAATTATTATTAACAATTTTCATAACACTTTGTTATATTTGCCGATTAATAGTTTTCGAAATTGATGTTCCTAATGATTTCGATAAACCAGGAGATCGTCAATTATGAAATAGTTTTTTTTTTAATAAAACTGCTGTACTAGATGTACAAATTTATGAAACAAATTTATTTCTTATATGATACACAAAAAAGATATGTCCAAGAAAGTACCCTAAAAATAATTCCTTCACTATGTCCCAACTGCTAAATTAGAAGAAAATTATTAACTTAAAACGTAAAATTCCTTACTAATTGTTATCTTATTTTTGACTTATATAGGATAGTATTAACGGTACCTACATAAGTTCATAGTTTAAAAAATGCGAATGAAAATATTTTTTTCTACGCCCTACCTTTAAAGTACCTTGTATTTCACCGCTTTTAACGCTTAAAACGGCTGTTTATGGTTAGAGTGAAAAAAAGTAAAAAAGCGTGAAATAAAGTGCCATAGCGTTAACTTTATTTCACGCTTTCCATAGGCTAATACAGTGATTAGTGCAATTCGTCCACACCTTTACCAGCACATGAACTGTAACTGATTTGACGTTAACAGATTTAATTATTATAGTATCAATAATTCGAGATGATTTAATTTAGTAGTTCTTTATATTTTTATTATGATGGATAGTGAAGATTCCGAGTTTGAAATATGTACACCGGAAGAAATCGTAGAAAAAGCTAATGTGGCCACACTAAATTTGCTGCCGGAGAAATCCAAAGAAAATTATTTAAAAGAATATGACACTTTTATGAAATGGCGGAACCAGAATAATATTCATAGCTTTACAGAGCGGGTGCTATTAGCGTTTTTTGAAGAAAAGTCTAGAAAATTCAAGTCTTCTACATTATGGTCCAGCTATTCTAAACTAAAAGCAACCTTAATTATTAATGATAACGTAGACATAAATAAATATGCTAAACTAATAGCATTTCTGAAACGAAAATCGGTTGGGTACAAACCCAAGAAATCCAATACATTTTCAAAGGAGGAGATTAACAAGTTTTTATTGATTGCTCCAGACGACAAATATTTAATGTTTAAGGTAAAAGTTTAAAATATTTAATTTGTTTTTACTTACTTTATTTTTTAAAAATTCATAGGTTACATTAATACTGGGAATAGCTGGAGGTTGTCGACGAGAAGAGTTGTATAAAATGAAAATTGATGACATTGAAAATAAGGGACAATTTCTACTCATCACGATTCCAGATTCAAAAACGCATACAAGTCGGCGTTTTACGGTAATTGAAGAAACCAGTAAAACATTAATTTAATACATTTTTATCAAAATTATGCTAATCTGAGACCGAAAAATGCAACCACCAACCATTTCTTTCTATCATATAGAAATGGAAAATGTACGAAACAAGTAGTTGGTATAAACACTTTTTCGAAAATTCCATCGCTAATTGCACAATATTTAAGTTTACCGCATCTAGAAGAATATACAGGTCATACGTTTCGACGTACTTCGGCATCGCTTCTAGTTGATTCAGGTGGAGACATTCTTCAATTAAAGCAACATGGAGGATGGAAATCTACTGCTGTAGCCGAAGGGTATGTGAACAATTCTCTCAATTCAAAAATAAACTGTGCTTTACGAATTTTACAAGGACCTAACAACAACAGTTTTTTTAACCAACCTTCAACATCATATGAGAATCAAGCAAAGACAAATTTGACTGTTCCAAATATTTACAATTTAAATGATGCTTTATCCATGAATCAGACAGAAACAAACGTGACAGCATCAAAAATTCATATTAGTCAACTAAACAATTGTGTTTTCAATATACACATTGCGAAATGAAAGAAACAAAAATACATAATTTACTTGTTATTTTTCTTAATATTATTTGTCCAATTCAATAATCATTATGCATTCGTTATTATAGTTGTAATTTACTAAAGGAATTTAATTAAAATATTCCAAATATCTATTTTTATTTTATTATTTGTATAGGGCTGTAGAAAAAATATTGTATGCAACATATGCATAGTATCTTTTTTTCACTGATGGAATTGCCGCATTCGCCTGGCGGCTCATGCGGTCAACTTTTCCATTCGTGAAAAAAAGTACCACTTTATGCCCTTGTTGCATAAATTACTATTAAATATAATTTAAAATTTGTACTTGAAAAATCTATCATTCCCTCACCGTTTTGAAATAGTGTGATTGAATCGAAATTAAAAGGCCTACCAAGCCGCACTTCAAGTTTTTTTGTAGTTTTTAACATTGGCCTCGATATAACATACACTAGAGCGAACGGTTGAAGAAAATATGATTTGTTAAAAATAGTTTGACAAGTTTTTTAAAGCCATAAAACTTTTTTTGAGAATTAGCCATCTACTGTTATGTATTAACCACTGATGAAAATCTTTTATTTTATTTTATTCACATTCATTCATTGTTTCTTTTTTTGCAGAGGATCCTAAATTTTGAATTAATTAGAATAAAAAAGTTTTCTAACCTTTCTACAATAAAGAAGACAAATGAAAGAAACTAGACGCTCATTTTTTACCGAAACGAGCATAAAAGAATCACTTTTTTGCACGAACAACAGCAGCAGCACCGTTAAGATTATACAATTGCTAACAACTTCCTATATCTAACGACCCTTTTGCGTAACTCAAAAGAATAAGGAATGATAAGGACCTTTGAAGTTCAACTTAGAATTTTCTGATATATCAAATATCTTTGTAAAAATTTCCCTTTGAGTAACAGACACTACGAAGGTGAACAGTAGAGGTTTCTCTTTCATGTTAAATGCAAGCCGTTCGATTTTTTTTTGTAGGTAGAACAAATTATTATTTGCTTTCATTTGGAGAAATAGGAAAATGTTAGTTGGACGTTGTACTGTATTTTAAAGACGTTTACAATACGAGAAATCTCAAAATAAATACAATCCTGAACTTTATTATAATATATTATTTACATTTTGATGTAATGTTGTATTATCAAAAGATATAACGAGATTTCTAAATCTGAGCAGTTTAAGAGTAAAAAAATACAGAAACAGTATATTAAATTATAACTAATACACTAATACATGAAAAATTTAACACTATATATCCTATCCGCTCATAATGAAATCTGCAGCTCTTTCAGCCAACATCACAATTGGAGCATTGGTATTGGATGAAGTAACAACTGGCATAGCAGAAGCGTCAGCCACTCTCAGGTTCTTAATACCGATTACTTGAAGTTTGTTGTTCACAACGGTCCACTTGTCGCCCACTGGACCCATTCTCAAAGTACTGGCTTGGTGATTTTCTGCACCAGTATTCCACCGGATGGCGCAACGCCAGTACTCATCGGAGTCAAAACTAAAAAAAAAATATTATGATCCCAATGAAGACAAAAATGAATACTCCGAACAAGGTTGTAACCAACAATATTATTATAACAACAGTGCTAAGCATGTAACAATGTTTAAAGCAACAATCTATATTAAAATCCAAATTGTACAGGATGGGATCATTTTAGTTTATAGAAGTTGCATCCTATCAAATCTCTTTTTTGATGGTAACAACCTTGTTCGGGACAGGTATTTAAATATTCTGGTATTTATTATTCTACTTACGTATGTTTATCCCCGCAATCTCCAAACGTCTTATTGCCATATTCAAGACCCCACTTATCCTTCAATGTAGGACTAGCAACCAGTTTTTGGACCAATCTGATACCATCTACCAATCTATCCTCGTCATCTTTTACAGTCAAATAATTACCGACCATAAGAGGTGCTTCAAAGGGATCATTGGATTTCAATGTGATTCTACCACGACTCTTTGGATGCAAACATACAGACGAGATGCTGAGGGTTTTGACTGCCTTTGGGTTGTTTGGGTTGGCTGGTTGCCCGGATTCACCTGTGGAGGTGCACTTATGGCTAGTTAATGTGTAAAACATCTGGATGTCTGGATCGCTAGCGTCACCAACAGTTGAGGGCAGTCTGGAGGTAACTGGCAAACCTAAGTAACAAAATTGGTTAAATTCTAGGTTCCTGTATATCAATTATTGTCGTCGTACCTGGACTCGCGAGAGGGCCAGTCCTATGATCCAAATACTGCTTAACAGTGTCAAAAGTGACAGTATCCAATAGATCAGGCGCTGTGTTGATATTAAATGTCAACGAGAAAGCTACGTGGTTGGTCAAGTTGTGTCCAACGCCTGGTAAATCGTGAATTTGCTTTATTCCAACAGCGTCCAAAGCATCTTTTGGGCCGACTCCGGATTGTAACAGAATTTTAGGAGAGTTCATGGTACCTGCTGCTAGAATCACTTCCTTTCTGGCTTTTACTCTGTATGTGACGTTATTGTAGACAAATTCCACTCCAATTGCTACCTTTTGGGAGTTGATGAGAATTTTGGTGACTGTGGAGTTAAGCATAATGTGAAGATTTTTGTCATCACGGTGGGGTCTTAGGTAAGCCTTGGCCATGCTTACTCTGGATCCATCTCTAAATGAATTAATATTTAAAAAAGATATCAAAAGATTTTTAAATGTCTATACTTACAACATGAATGTCTGAGGAATGGCAAATCCTGTGTAGTTTTCACCATTTAAATCATTAGAAATAGGGAACCCAGCTTCAGCAGCACCCTGAATAACAGCATGCGCCAAATCTGGTACGTAATAGTGATTAGATACTGTCATTGGTCCGTCTTTACCATGGTACTTGGGATCGTATTGTTCGTACTATTAGAAATATAAAGATTATAAATCCCTCTTTGTAACCTTTCTTAAGACTTACCTGTTGGTTACCTTCGGCTTTCCTAAAGAAAGGTAAGACATCTTTGTAAGCCCAACCATCAATGCCTGCTCCTTGCCATCTTTTATCGAAATCTGGTGGTGTTCCTCTGGTAAACATCATACCGTTTATAACTGAAGTACCTCCTAACATTTTTCCTCTTAACCATAAGCATTGACCTTTATTAGCTGAGAAATATTAAAGAAATTAACACATATATTTAGCGTCACTTTAGATTGTATTAGATTTAAAAGAAGTTGGACAGACGAATAGCTGAATGCCAGTAAGTTGATCTATTGTTATTATATATTTCGTTTGTGAAAAATGTATTTGTTTTTGTTAATCGTCTAATCTGTCTGTGTTCTCCTCTATCCCGTTCCGGTAGTGAATGGCTGCGCTGTCGGGGTTAATAAAATACCCCGTAGTTCAATATCTAGAACTGTTTGTTAATTTACTCTAGATCTTTAAGGATCAAGTTTATGTAACTTACTCTCAAAGTACCTTCGTTACTGAAGAGAACAAGTAAACATTGCGATGTATACTTACATTGACAACCAACGGGTTCTCCAGTTGTTCTGTAGTTCCAGTCAACGAGAGGATTGGTGAAGTAGGCAAGGATGAATGCTGGTACTTGATAAGCCTCAGGTTCATCGATTCCAGCTTCCAACAGCAAAGTTGTTCGTGATTTATCTTCAGCCAATCTTCCACCTACAGTTGAGCCTCCACTTCCACCTAAAAAATTGATTTTTGTAAAAAAAAAAAATAAGCAGGCAAATGGCTGGGCTTACCTCCAATAACGATGTAGTCATATACTGGATCGGGTCTTGCTCTGGGTTTGACTCTATCACAAATCGCTGAAACGTCACATGTGCTTCGTATGATGCTGTCTATCAAACTCATGAAAACGATAAAACTACCTGCCCCGCAGTTGTCAGCCAAATAAGGCCCATAGGTTTGGGCTTCACATCCACACTCCATGGTAGTAAACTAAAAAAAATAGTACAGTGAAATCCTAATTTTTCATAATTATTTTTAATTTATTGCCATTTATAGCAGAAATAGTAGTTTGTGCAACAAGAGTGGATATGAAAATTCCACTTGAGTAGTACAGTATATTTTTTCTACGATCCACTAACGAAAATCTAAAAATTTTAAAATCATTTTAGGTTATTAAGACAAAATACCTAATTTTAAAATAATTTGTAACGTTTACTAATTTATAAAAAAGTCAAATATTGGAAACTATAGACCTATTTCCATTATATATGTAATGTGTCAAAGGTCTTTAAAATAATATTATATAAAAAGATATATCATTGTGTTAAAAAGTTAAAATTATTTGCGTTCTCTGAGGATGCTTTACAATTCATAAAATCATATTTAACGAATAGAAAATAATTTGTTTCATATACTGGCTATAAATCAAATAAATGTTTTGCTTTATCGGGAGTTCCGCAGGGTCCATTATTTTTTTGTTATTTATAAACGTTTTATTATTATTTCCTATTATTTTAGAAGAGAATTCATTGATAAAAAAATTAAGAATTATCTTCATTTAAAAAATTCCTTAATTTTTAAATGCAGAACCAAATTGTCTGAATCTTGAATATGTTTAAAGAATTGTTACGAAAATTATGATACAACCTACCATTTTTTAAAATTTATATTTATTTAGAAAACAACTCACAAAAATTTTATTTTTAATGTAACATTTAACAATATTTAACATACATCCAAAATTTCATGCATTTGAGCAATAAAGAAGAAAAAAGTGTGATTAAATTGGGTACATATGTTTCTTTTACTTGTTTATTTCAGTTTTATATCCCTAGATTGTAAAATTTTTAGTTCAATTATACACAGTAATTTTTTTATTTTTTAAACTTTTTGTAAATAATTCAACATAGTGCTAACCAATTAGGTTTTTCTTAAAGTAAATAATTTTTTTAACGAAACAATTTTTCCTTATAATTAAATTTTTATTGTTATCGTGGAATTTTAACGATAATTTACCGAATGTTGTAAAATAATTAAAACTTTTTATTTTTCTTTAATTCAATAATAAAAAAATTATTTAGTCAAAATTTTTCCTCGGTTCAACGACTTTTTTTAAAAAATATTTTTCCTGGGAAGCAAAAATATATAAATTTGTATAAATTATAATATTGTTTTTACAATTATTTAACTTTTTATTATAAAATATAAACAATAAGCTGTAATAATTCCCATTCCATCTAATTATATTAAATATTAAACATAAATGTACTACCTAACTAAATTTTTTTTTTTTATTTAATTTAATTTAATTTAATCTGCCATCAACCAATGGCATCTAACAATGCTTCATTCCATATTTTTTCTTTATCATTTATTTGAATTAATTTTGTAAAAAAAATAAAAATTTTTGGACCAAAGAAAAACATAGAACATTTTCAAAATTGGATAAACAAATCTAAAGTATGCAGAAAAATTGCAAAAAAAACATACATTCATTGAAGAAAAATAATAATTCCAATTGCAATGTACAAATCCTTTTTATGTAGTAAGTTGAAGATATATCTCAAAATAATTATTATTTTGTCATTCAAAATATAATACCAGAACCTCAGTAACAAATTGTTGAAAACTGGCTTGATTAACAAAATATTTAACAATTACCAAATCTGATATTACTATATAAATAAGTTATTGTGTTACTTACCGTTTGATAGAGACTAACAGTACATTTTTTAAATCATATTGTTTTTATAGGAAATAATTTGTTACGCAATCAACAGTCATCGTTAAAAAAATTTGCAATATCATTTTTATAGCTGATAAGGGTTAATTGTATATTAATTTATATTTGCATATTTTCAAGTATACAGTCTAAAAGAGCAGTACAGATAATAACCAAATACTAAATCAAAATTTTTATCTAGGTATTTTACCCAAAAACCTAAAATAAATAAAGATTACATTTTCTGAAATTATGCAGAGATCAATTAACAAATCCAATATCTATATATAAAACACATACGTTGAATTAAACTCCACATTTTAGAAGTGTTTTCGAAAATATAACTTAAGAAAGCTAATTGTGGAAATACCTTCAACATTATATCCAATTCAGTATTCATTCCTAATTTCCATACAACTCCTAGAGTCGTCTCTCTAACCTGCATAAAATACTAAAATGTTTAGAGCTGTTTGTGTGCGCTCCGATATTGTACCTACGAACTTGCCTCTTACGACGATCGCCAGGTCATCGGCATACCCTAGGTAGAGCTCGATTTTTTTGTGAAGAGCACATTTCGTCATAGCTATGCCACACTCAAAATAGCTAAATAAATGCAACAAGTACAAATAAGTAACACTACGCTACTGAATTCAACTTGTATGAGCGGTGATGAGCGGCAAGTGGCTTCGACCATGTTTAAATCTGTCTGACCACGCCTACAAACTCAAATTGGTTTTTGCACATTATGACGAAGTGAGCTCTTCACAAAAAAATCCAGCTCTAGTAGAAGTCTGCAGCGTTCGCTCACTTGGACTAACCAGGGGAGGGATGAAAGTACTCCTACCTCAGGGCAGCCCCTGCCTGGAGATTTGTAAGGTAGAAATTTGTTTGTAGCCCATCTAATTTTGTCTGGCCTTTATATTTCTGTAGCTAGCCTCCATTCTAAAGGAGTTACTCTACAAGACCTTCTTTGTGGACTGTATGCTACCAACTAACAAAATTTCTGCGAGCGGAAAATGTAAGTCTGTGAGCTTTTCTAACGTTTTCATTTCCTGAGAAATCCTACTTTGTTTGCAATACCCTCTTTAGCTAAGACTTTGTGGATTTTAGAGCATGTGGGTGTTTAAGATAACTCCTAACAGAACTTCCTCCATGATTGCCTTTTAGACTTTCTTATCTCCTTGTTGTACTGCCTGAGTTTAGCCCTATAGGGAGCCCAGTCTTCGGTTGACTTGTCTTTATTAAATATCCTTCACACTTCACCTCTAAGGCGTTTCAAGTGTTTGTTTCACTAGACTGTTTTTGTTCATTGCTGTCTTATTTTCTAAGGACAGCTGTTCCCGTAAGTGGTTATAATGGCCTTACTTACTTGGTCTACTGCTCGGTCAAGGCTTTGTTCACCTGTTATTTCCACCATACCCTCTCTGATGTCTGTTACTTATTTTAGATTGGTTATATTTTAATCGCTTTTTTAAATTTAGTATTAATTAAACTTATTTAGGTTCGCATATCCACTTATAAGATATTGTTTTACAGATTTTTTGACTATTTTCACTTTTCACCTCTAACATCTTTTAGGCGGGATGGGTTTGACAATTAAAAATACTTTTATGCTTAAAATAATGGTAAGTGGTTTACCTTGGAGAGGTTTTTCGGTAATAATCGTTGAATTGACACATATATTTCCGATTTATTAAAGTCGCAGTTTTATTTACACAATTTTTAAATAGTTTTATAAGAATGACTTGGTCATTATGGTTTTTTAATTTATAAGCATTTTTTTGAGTTGTTAATTTTTTCCTGATATATAATATTGAATTTAAGGTAGATGGGCATTACAAATTTTAAATTTTGGACTTGGTCATCTTCTCTTGTATACCGACGATTTATACATACGTATCCAGCTAGCAGGCACCTTTGGATTTTTCACATTCTAAGTATGCCATAATTTTAGTCTTATTTTAGGCTAATTTTATACCAACCTAAAAAAATCTCCGCTTTTGTTTATAGAAAAAATTAGGTACTCTATTGGCTTAACAACAGACACTTATTGCGTTTTTTATTAAAAAATCCAGCAATGTAAAAAATGATAACGGCATAATTTTAGACTCATTTTAGACTAATTCTAAACTAACATTAAAAATTTCCACTCGGGCTTTTATCGGAAAAATTGGGAGTTATGCTAGCTTGAAAATACAACCTTATAGTATTTTCCGGTAATAAAATTAAGAAAAATAAAAAATAGACACATCACAATTTTAATATCATTTTAGGCGAATTTAATATCAAAAAAAAAATTCTGCTTTTGCCTTTATTTGAAAAATTAGGTGCTCTGCTAGCTTGACCATACGACTTTTTAGAGTTTTTCGTTAAAAAATTGAAATAACTAAAAAATGAAAACTTTATAATTTTAGGCTTATGTTAAGCTAATTTTTTACTAGTCAACCAACCAACCAAGCAACCAACCAGCTAACCAGCCAACCAAATTAGGTATTCTGTTGGCTTAAAATGTGCCTAAAATTACGACGTGTCTACTTCTTAGTTTCCTCAAATTTATTAACAGAGTAGTACATTACGTAACAAGAGTTTTAAGTAACCCTTTACGCACGAAGCGAAAAAGTTTACGCTTACAACTCGTTTAACATACTATACTTTTTCTACTCTCACTTATTTCCTTCTATTAAACAAAGGACATATGTTTGTGTCGCTAATTCATAAATTTTCGATAGGTAATTTCTTGGGATTTTAGCGGTAACAAATTATGTGTGGCAGCTTGAGCTTTTTCTAAAATCTCCGGTGAAGTGCTCATAATTTTATCACTTTCACTACTAACAGACATATTCGTAGGTAAAGTTAAGAAAATGTTCGAATACAATAATGTTTTGTTACAAAAATTGACAATATAAAAAGCAAGACGTTTATTTCCATAGCATGCTAAGAAAACGCGACATTTTTGAAAAATTGTAAAATGTGTTGCCGACATTTTGGGGCATCACTTTTTTAATCCAACATTTATCTCGCTCATGCTAAAAGTTCTTTTTTTTTCAATTGACTAAATTTATGTAAATAGACCAAATAAAGTTGTAGGTATGTATGTAAAAATTTGATTGCAATCTGATTTAAGTTTTCTTATCGAAAGGTACGTGTATGATATGAGATCTTATTACGTACATGTTACTAATTATCATTTACAAGGAATGTTGATAGTGCGATTTGTAACGTTTGCTGACATGGGCGTAGAAAAAACATTTTACAGTCGTATTGTCAAG